AATCTAAAAGAATTCCAAGATTTATTTATTATTAATAAATATTTATTTACATGTAAATATTTATTTGCATGTGTTAGCATATTCTAGAAGTAAGTCAGTTATGATGAATTGTCCTTAGTGAGGTCATGGACCATGCATATTGATTGTTAGAATATTTTCTGTTATATATCTGTTGGTACGAAATGAAAAGGGAAGAATATTTTTACTCTTAATTCCCTTCTTGTTATTTTCTTTAGGAGGTTGTCTGTCCTCTAACTTAGTACAACCTTTATTTTCTTAATACTGGTGCTTTCATTACAACTCACACATGGCTAGCGGGACCCGCTCCAAAACCCAATCTAAGAAATTGGATGAAATGCTCCATCAACTCTCCCTTTTTCAAGACTCTCACCCCATTACCTATTTTAGCAAGGTCTTTTGTCAGCGTATGACCAAGGCATCAGCCTATATTTGGGAACGTCATGCTGTCACCAGTGCAGTAAAACGTTGGTGCCAATACCTATTGGGTTCCTCCTTTATAATTCAAACAGATCAAAAAAGCCTCAAGGAACTCCTCACTCAAGTCATCCAGACCTCAAGACAGCAGTATTACTTGGCCAAGCTCATTGGCTATGACTATGAGATTCAGTACAAATCTGGGAAACTGAATGTGGTTGCCGACGCTCTTTCTCGATCCACTGGACCAGTAGTCGGCGAATTGCAGGTACTCACTGTGCCTCAATTTGTCTTTTTAGATGACTTGAAACAATCCTTGTTACAAGACACAGAATTCCTCTCCCTACGGCAGCGGTGTATCGCTGACCCCGCTTCAATGCCTCATTTCAAAGTGTTGGAGGGTCTTATTCTATTCAAGGGCAAGATTTGATTGAGTTCCTCTTCTAAATTCATCACTTTGCTTTTGCAAGAATTCCAAGAATCTACCGTTGGGGGACATGCGGGTATGAACAAGACCCTTAAACGTCTCTCTGCCAACTTTTACTAGAGCAATATGGCAAAGGATGTTTGCTCTTTTATCTCTCAGTGTAGAGTCTGCTAGCAAACAAAATACAGTACCAAACGCCCCGGAGGTCTCCTCGTTCCCCTTCCTATTCCTTCACATGTGTGGGAGGACATTACTATGGATTTTATTACTGGGTTACATCTCTCTCATGGTTATACCATTATCTTTGTGGTAGTGGATCGGTTCTCAAAAGGGGTTCATTTGGGTGTTCTGCCTCCCACTTTCACAACTTATAAGGTGGCTGAGCTCTTTGTTTCTATGTTCTGTAAGCATCATGGGTTGCCCAAGAGCATTGTTTCAAATCGAGATCCAATTTTTATGAGCCAATTCTAGTCAGACTTGTTCAACTTCAGTGGTACCCTTCTCCGCATGAGTTCATCATACCACCCTCAGACCAATGGTCAAATGGAGGTTATGAATCGCACAATTGAACAATACCTCTAAGCCTTTGTTCATGAGACACCACATCATTGGTTCAAATTCTTCCCTTGGGTTGAGTTCCATTATAACACCTCCGTTCACTCTGGTTCAGAGCTCCCTCCATTCCAAATCATATTCGGCAAGCCACCTCCTTCCATTCCTGAGTATTTGGCTGGCACCTCTCAAGTTGCTGGTTGTGATTCATTACTCTCCTCACGTGAAGAAGTTCTCTCACTCCTGCGGCATAATCTGTTGAAAGCCCAAAAACGGATGAAAAGGAATGCGGACTTGAAGCGCAAAGAACTCAGTTTTGAGGTGGGATCCTAGGTTTATGTTAAGCTCCAACCCTATTGTCAATCATCTCTTTCGGGTGCCAAGTTTCATAATTTGTCCAAACGTTTTTATGGGCCTTATCGCATAATAGAGAAAATCGGACCAGTTGCCTACAAACTTGACTTACCTGCTACTTCCAAGATCCATAATGTTTTCCATAGTTCAGTTTTGAAGGCTCATGTGGGTATTCCCCCTAGCACCATTGACTCTTTTCCCCCATACTCTTATGCCATTCATCCCTTGGTAACCCCACTAACTGTTCTGGGTTTCAAGACTGCTATGGTCAATGGAGTCCCAACACGCATGACCTTGGTCCAGTGGCAAGGTCTTTCTCCAGACGATACTTCATGGGAAGAGTGGTCCAACCTTCAATCTACTTATAACCTTGAGGACAAGGTTGTTGCCGATGGAGATGGTGATGTTACATATGAAGGCTCACTTAATACTGAAGAAAATGAGGATATCAGGCCCAAAAGACAAATTCACAAATCTAAAGGAATTCCAGGATTTATTTATTATTAGTAAATGTTTATTTGCATGTGTTAGCATATTCTAGAAGTAAGTGAGTTATAATAAATTATCCTTACTGAGGTCATGGACCATGCATATTGATTGTTAGAAATGAAAATAGGAGAACATTTTTACCCTCAATTCTCTTCTTGTTATTTTCTTTAGGAGGTTGTGTGTCCTCTAACTCAATGCAACCTTTCTTTTCTTATATATATATATATATATATATATATATATATATATATAACATAATGATTTCAAAATTGGTAGTTAAAATGACTAATTTGATAGGATAACAAATGTTTAATAAAATTAAAATCACAAATTTCATTACTCGGTCCAGTATACTTGTGTAAAACATTATGTAGTTTTCCTACGTTCTTAATTTATTATGGAAAACTACTCTACAGGATCTTTAGATTATTGATTTTCACAACATAACATACATGAATCATAATAAGAGAACTAACCTTGATCCATGGAAATTTATTCTTTAATCTTCTCGTTCTCCAATCTTCTTTTTCCAATGGAAATTTATTCTTTAATCTTCTCGTTCTCCAATCTTCTTTTCTCAATCTATCTCTTTGTCTTTCTTTCTCTTCTCACGCTTTCTTGATGGTTTACCGTGAAAAACCTTATGACCAGAGACAAAACCCTTATTCCATTCAATTAACCAACGCCCATCAAGTTGGTTACCGTAAGTTAATATTTTATTTTATCTTTATTTTATTCTAACTTCACATAATAACCAATAGGTCCTCATATTTTATTAAATCACATTTAGGCCCATTATTATATTTCATATGAGTCACATAATGGAATGAATTAATTAAATTAATTCTAACATACTGTTCTACAGTGGGGCTGCCACAGTTACCAGTAGAGAAAAGAGATAAACACTAAGGGAATTGTAGGTTTAATAAAAGCTGACCCATTATTTTTGTAGAAAAAATGGGTTTCATGTTCTGTTTTTCAACAACATAATGTTATAACTAAATATCATAATATTGGAACAATGATAAGACACACTTAAGGAGGAGTGAGATTAATATATGGACTTAGGGAAAAAAGTTCAACCCACAACACAATCACAGAGAAGAGTAAAAATTTGTCTTAGTAACCGCAATCCAAAGTCTCCTCCATAAACACACCAACATCCTTTGTGTCTTCAACTGTCCTTAAGATGCTGTCCTAAATAACATAAAAATTAAGTAAATTAAACAACACAATTTCCTTTAGGAATTTTCACAAGACACTCATATCTCAAATTCTATTAAATATTTCAATTTTCCTATCATATGACAATGGAACCACTTGTGTGAGTGTGAATGATTAATAAGTGAGATAAAAAGGTAATCTATTATCTTATTATAATTGTTGCACATCATATTTATGTACATTCTTTCTCATTCATTCAACCCTTACTTATTAATCCATTCTAAGCTATCACGTTTATCACCTTGTTGACTTTAACTCTAGTAATTGGTCTCATACCATAACAAAATCGATATATGAAGAAAAAATAACATCTAAATGATATCTTTTGTATTTACCAAAAGATCATACAAATATATTTGTCTCACGTAATAAAATAATTATACAAATTAAATCAACCTAATTATACCGATAATTTAACGTTAGCATAAACATAATTATAACCTAATTATGCTAGTGTGAATTAAATTGAGCTTAAAATCTTAATCCTATATCGGTTCTCGAAACAGAAAATGTGAAGAAAAAAAAGTGAGACATGTACCTATTTATCTATATAGGGAGTAAAAAAAAGTTATAATTTTCAGAGTTAATAAATAAATAATATGTAGTTATATCATTATAAAATTATCCGTATATTTTTTTTGAGAACAATTATAAAAAAAAAACTATAAAGAAGTGATTTTGAAAAAAAATAAAAATTTCTTTGCACTCTACAGTCTCTATTTTTTCATTTATGAATGACAAATAAAATATATGAAATCCAATCAAATACTTTCTTCATTATTAGATTACTTATTATTACAAGGACAAAATTACTCAATTTTCTATCCTAGTTACTTCTAGTCTATATTTTTCTTTCAAACCAAAATATCCTAAATAAGTAATAAAATTTAGTTTTATGAATAAATAATTGTAGTTAAAAGGAAACATACATTAAAAAAATAGTTAATTAGATATATAACAAAAAATATTCTTGAAAAAAATCTACACATAGTTGACACAGGTAATAAACATACTAATAACTTACCACACATAATTGAAGGTATAAAAGAAAATAGACTATAAAGGTCAAATAAAATTAATAATAACGAGAAATACACTTCAACTTAATCATCCGAGTTAATGGGCCTAATTATAAAATTCAAAATTAAAAAATGGATAGTTCATCTAATAAAAATATTTGTCAAATAAAAATGCTTACAATAAATAGATTTTCTTTTTTTTTTCAACTAAATTTGTTAGTTCTCCACGTGGAATTTGAATTTGAGAAGAAGATCATAACAGAGGAAGGTACTAGTTTATTTAAATAAATAAAAAACGCGTTTAAAACCAAATTAACGCAAACGCCTCTTTTTCCTCGAATAATGCCCTAAATTGTCAAACAGTTACAACTCACAACAAAGACTACGCGCAGACAAACACATATATATACACACGCCCACACACAAACAAACCTTCAGCAACCTCACTCACAATTTCTCCGTGACACAACAATCATTGTTCCCCAAACACTTTCTGCACCATGGTTCGCTTCAGCAACAACGTCATCGGACTCCTCAACTTCCTCACCTTCCTCCTCTCCATCCCGATCCTGGTGGCCGGAGTGTGGCTGAGCAAGCAGGGCAGCTCCGAATGCGAGCGGTGGCTGGAGAAGCCCGTGATCGCGCTCGGCGTTTTCCTCATGATCGTCTCACTCGCCGGCCTCATCGGCGCGTGCTGCCGCGTGTCGTGGCTCCTCTGGGTCTACCTCCTCGTCATGTTCTTGCTCATCGTTGTTCTCTTCGCATTCACCATCTTTGCCTTCGTTGTCACCAACAAGGGCGCTGGTGAGGTCGTGTCTAACAGAGGCTATAAGGAGTATAGGCTCGGGGATTACTCTAATTGGTTGCAGAAGAGGGTGAACAACGCTAAGACGTGGAACAAGATCAAGAGTTGCTTGCAGTCTGGGAAAGTCTGCTCTGAATTCCAATCCAAGTTTCTAAACGACACCGTTACTGAGTTCTACGCTGAGAACCTCTCCGCGCTTCAGGTTTCTTTCTCATCTTCTCTATTTTCTTCTGTTTTTCTCTGTGTTTTGGTTGCCAAAATTTCAACTTGTTCGTGGAGGATCTGGTTCTCGATCACGGTCCTGTTTATTTTACTTGTGGTTGCTTCACAATGAAAAAGTTAATTCATAATTGTTTAGGTGTTTTTATTTTCTTTCTTGTTGTTTGGTGGGGGAGATTGGGGTTTTTCCACCTCCTCTATAAGTAAAGAAATGTTCCTAAATTCGTATCTTGAAAATTTGGTTGTCTTTTAAATTAGATCGTGAACTTTTGGTTGAGGTGTATCTGATGGCTATCCAATTGAAATTAACGTTTCACCTCCTTGTTTGAATTTTTAATTCTCAATTGAACAATTGCACGAAAAAAAAATAAAGAACTGCATGTAGCATTCGTTTCTTGAAATCTGGTTAGTTAATTTTGTTAGATCATATACTTTAGGTTTAAGATGTGTTTTACTTGAAACTGAAACACGGTTATTGTCATGGTATGTGGGCCTTTTTGCCCACCTCCTTTTTAAGTTTTTGTATCCTTACACTCTCGAGCGCGAGTTTCAATTCAAGAAGTTTTCTGGAAAACGTGAACTTTCGTCAGAGCAATTTTGTAAGATACTGGTATTTTATTGTCGCAGTCTAGTACAGTAGGCAAGGTGTGTCTTTTTGAAAGGGGATCTTTTTAACCAGGATTGGCTTCCGCCTGAAAAGGCTGTGTTCTTTTGCTTTATTTTCTAATTCCCAATGTATTTTTTGTCGAACTTTTTGGCATTCTTGTGTCATTTTTAAATAGGACTGATTGATGCTAGTGCTGCTGCCTACTGAGCTAAAAGTTATCTACTTTTTCTATCCTGTTGCTCCTCTTCCTGCATGATTTTACGTGCACTTTTCTTGCCAATATAAATAATCTTCGGTTCCCTGTAGCATCAGCGTGTGAACGCTACAAAAGGATTTTTATGTACTCATTTTTTCACCCATAACAGTTACATGGTCAAACTTTTCTTGGAGAAAGACAATATCAGTCTTCAAAGACATAAGAATTTTCCTATATGAGATATTCTTATATGACACTATAGACGTATACAGCTATATTTATACACTGTACATGATTTATTTGTTTAAATTGTTTGCTTAAACGAGTGGAAGTTATTGGGACTACTTTAGTTAATGGATGTCTCACATTGAATTTCTTTGTGTGACACAAAAGCACTGATGCTTGTACTTTAATTTGCATTTGTTGGATGTTTTGTGCAGTCTGGGTGTTGTAAGCCTGCAGATGAGTGCAATTTTACCTATCAGAATCCAACGACCTGGACAAAAACCGCAAATGCTACTCTGAACAATCCGGACTGTGATGCTTGGAATAACGACCCCAATGTTCTGTGCTTTGCCTGCCAATCATGCAAGGCTGGCTTACTGCAAAACATCAAGACTGATTGGAAGAAGGTGGCTATTGTTAACATCATAGTCCTGGTCTTCCTCATTATTGTCTACTCCATAGGCTGTTGTGCTTTCAGGAATAACAGGAAGGAGAATTGGAAGGGATATTAGTTAGGCTCATTTGATTATTCACTCACCACTCTTCTATTACCCTCTTGATGAATTTACTAGGCAATCTGGTTTATATGCTGGATTTTTTTATTTTTTTTTATGGGCTTTATATATGCTGGATTATACTATTTTCAGTACAGTCTGTTGTGTAAATTGCTCACTTTTTTCTATAACATTTCCTAGTAACATCTTTACTTCTGTACATTTCCTAGTCTTTTTTATATATTACTTTTGGACTCACTGCATTTCCTTCTGTTCCAACATCTCATACTATATTCGCCACTGCCGAATGTTCAACCTTATTGATAGTGTAAAATAGTTTTATATGGTTCAATTGTTTTTAACCCCTTTATGCGAATTTTAATTTTTAAATTAGTATTCTTTCAATATTCTAAATTGTGTTGTTGGATAGCTCATTCGTATATCTTTGTACTTAACGAGAGGACTAACAATATGTTTATTTTTACATTGTTTAAATTGTTTGGTGATTATTATGTAAGAGAACCCTAAACAAAAATTTAATATATTAACATCTGCCGATCATTCAGTGGGACATTTGATGAAGGTTTTTTTTTTTTTTCATTCTATGTGGGTTTGTCCAATAAGTCTGTATCTAACACAATTTTAAACAAATCAATTTCATTCAATTTTAAAAATAGAAGAAATTGTTAACTTAAAAAAAATCAATATGGGTCTATCAAAATGTCTAGTGCCCTATCATATTATAAAATCTAAATTATACTTTTTTTTTTAATTTTATTTCTATGTCTTTGACCTTCATCTTTTATAAAAATATTTAGGTCTTTTAATTTCAAATTGAAATTCATTTGATTCTATTAAAATAATGATACTTTTATTTTGGAGCATCATTTTGACCTTTTTTTCTTCACTCAGATAAGATGGGAAACGTATATATTTAGATTTACTTAAATAAAAACTACAAAACCTGATTAATGTTTGAATTAAAAATTATAAAAAATTGGTGAGAGTTAATTAATCAAATTGTAGAATCATTATGCTTTTAAATCTTAAATCATACTATTTTAATGTAATAAATACTACTATACTGAATTTGCTACCGTGGTACAGATAAAAATTTGCTGCTACAAATATAAATAAATATATATATTCTTGCATATCTTGTAAGGCAGGAAACGAGTCGAGTTGAACCATATTCCATTCAATTTGTCAATAATTGGTTCACTTCTACTCGATTCAAGTTCTCGAGTGCCTTGATTTAGCTCATTAATTCTATTAGATTTCAAATTACAATTATTTTAATATTTAAAAAAATAAAAGTAAAATAAAGTTAATTATTTAAATTTCATATCAAGTTGGGTCATATATATATATATATATTAATCTTTTGTTTAATTTATATAATTTTGATTTCTGTGATATGTAATCAATTGTTATAAGTTTTTTAGCCATTAATTAAATTTAATATATCAATTTTAAATTATAATCCAACTTATTTTTCATATTTGGATTGCTCAAAAAAATATTACAGCTTCGTTCATATCATATATTTCGATAAAATAAAAATATTTTATATTAAACCTTATATATCTGTTTTATAAAACATAATTTGTAGTCTTAATTATATTATATTTTAAGTTTGTTTATCTTTATATATTTTTTGTCCTACATATATAGTAAAGATTTCAAATAGCTTTAAACCATATCACCTAGTCGTACCTTATAAGTACTAGTAAATTTTACCCAAAAAAAATAATGATATTTTCTTTTTTACTCTGATAATAATATATTATGAACTTTTCTCGTTTTATTACTAATACGAGTGTCGGAGTATTTTGTATATATTTTTCCGTCCTTCCTTAAATATTTTTCTGTCCTAAAAACAAGTTAGATCGTCGATTCACAATATACAAAGATTATCAAAATTGAAAATTCATAAAGATTTAAAAAATAGTTAACAACAATTTGGACTAACATAAGTAAAGAGTCATATAATAACAAAATATTTTGAGCCTAATACTAAAAATTACAACAGCATTTTTTTTATTCATATATTATATTTTAATTTAAGTAAAAACATAAATAAGATAATAATATTAATCCATTCAACAAAATAACATAAAATAAAAATTCTTTACACTCCATCAAGCCTTAGACTTGGGCCATCCTCCCTTTGGACTGGGCACAGGGCCGGCCCGAGCAACTGACCCGTATTTCAAAAGTCTAAGAAATTACGCGCAAAGGAAATTAAAGAGTCGTTGAAGAGACAAATTCTACTAGACAAAGTCTCTTACATGTTTTTTCTCTTGACTTTGATCTTATCATTAAATGATTGATTGTTTTATTCAATCCGTAGTACTACTTGTTGATGTTAATTTCAAGTTCTATTAATTACTTATCCTTAAACGAATTTGAATATTCCCAACTTGTGTCTTAGTTGCAATTTTATAAGCTTAACATGGGAGAGAGTGTTGACATTCATTTTATATTAGCAGAAGTTGTAGGAAATTTGTTTCCTAGGAGATGTTGTACAATTTTTCTGACTTCATTTTTGTTTCCTACATATATTACTTCTGGACACAAAACCTTGCATTCCGCGGACGCAATTGATGGTCGAAAAGAATTTGAGGTTGTTGTGTTGGCCGTACGAATTATGGATGAATAGGACATAAGCAAAAACAAAATGCAATCTTGCTGAACATTATCTCTGTTTTTTCTTGATTTCAATTATTTTATGCTTGATTGAATGTATGTGTTGGTGGTGAAATCCTGTCATTCTCAGCTTTGATGCAAGTGTTGAATAGAATTAGTGATGGCTGAACGATTGGCCGTTGCGGATAATGACATCTTTTTAAGAGATTATTTCCAGAGAGTAATGAGTGAAATTCGATCAGTTTTTGGTGGTCCACTACGCATTTTTTATCACGTGACGTGAACCATACATAAAACCATTACTTCTTTGTCCATTACATACCAACACAATGCTTTTACCCTTTTCTTATCTCATTTTCTCTCTCTGTCTCTTTCCAATAAATTAGTGGTACCTACCTATGTCATGCAAAACAGCACAAACACTTTCCTTCTCTTCTATTTGGACTCAAGAGTAAATTCGCCGGAATGGAAAAAGATAGAAACTGAATTTTTTTTTTTTGAAGATAGAGAAAGATACATGATCAGAAATAACTTTTCACCCTTTTAATTATATAAAATTAAGTTTTTTTTATATATATATATATATATATATATATATATATATATATATATATTATAATGTTAATATTTTTTAAGTCATATTTAATTTAATTATATAAAATTAAATTAAATTATAATATTAATATTTATTTGTCAATTTGAGATTTCATTACACTCTTTTATCTTAAAAAGTATTTTTCATATATCAACATCATTAAAATTAATCTAATACTATATTAAAAATATATATTATAATATTATCAAATATTTAGTTATGTGATATTTTATTACTGATTAAATAAAATAAAATAATTATATAAATAAATAAATGGTCAAAATATATTTTATTATAAATTTTAATAAAAGTAAATATCAATTGAAATTTAGATATGATTTAATATGAAAAAGTTATTTTAAAAATAGATAAAAATAAATAAAAATATTTATATATAAATTTAAAATAAACTTATAATATATATATATATATATTTATAATTTATTTTATTCTTATAATAGTTTATGATTAATTTTAAAATTATAACAATTATTTGAAATAAATTAAAATTTATTTTTATATGTTTTTATAAAGTAAATGGAAAGTTTATTTCAATTAGAAAATATGATTAACAAAAATATAATAAAATAAAATAGTAATTAATAAAATATTAATTTTTATATAATAAATTAAAACTGTATTTAAGTTACAAGTGCTTTTATTTTCATATATGAATATTTTATATAGTTTCAACAATAATTCTTATTGTTTATTATGTCCCCTGCAATACAATTCAAAATATATAATAATTTAAGGAACAATTTATTACCATCGAGTTACGTGTAGTTGTTGGTGGTCAAGCCTGATTTAATTTTATCAGTAGAGAAAAAAAATTAATAATTTAATCTAATTTATATTTTAAAATAAATCATAAATTTTATCTTAATGAGAATATTTTTAGACCAATAGATGAATAAAAGTCAGTTTATTTTTTTTAAATATTAACATGTTTACACTAAAATAATTAGTTAAAAATATTTTAAAAAAAATATATTTTTAAAATTTAAATTATATTAATTAAATTAATTTTTATTTAAAATATAATAATTTAGTATATAATTATAAGATAACCAATCAATTCAATTAAAACTTACTCTTAATTAATATTTATAATTAAATATTAAAATAGGTAATTATTAGAATTTTATTTTCATATTTACTTTTAAAATAAATAAATAATTTAATAAACTAATTTATAATATATATTTTAAATAAAATAAAATAATATTATTTTATTTTTATTTAAAAATAATTATTATTTTATAAAATAAATCAAATTATAAATATAAGAGTAGATTATAATCTAAATTGATTAAACTAAAATAAATTTAATTTAATTTAGGTCATAAAATTTTATTTTTTAATCTGATTTAAATATCATCTTAATTAAATTAAAATAAAATTGACTCAATTTAGATAATAAATTTTATTTTGTTAACGTGACTTAAATAGATGGATAAATCTATCTTGACCCTTTGTAGCTACTTATGACATAAAATTATAATAATTTCATATTTATTATCATTATTATTTACATGGTTAAATTTAAAATTTCATCTTTGAAGGATAACTTTCTCATCATTTTTTCCTCACATTAAAGGGGTAGATGAAATCGTTGTATGTTTTTGTGCAAATCTGTTTGCATCTAACAATCTTGCCATTTAATCTCATTGCTTCCCTTTCCCCATAAACAGGATATTATTAGTGGATCAAAAGAAGAGGTTGTATTTAAATAGTATTGTGGATTTTTTTAGTCATAAAAGAATAGTAACAT